ATCTCCTTGCAGTCCAAGGGACTCTCAAGAGTCTTCTCCAACACCACAGTTCAAAAGCATCAATTCTTCGGTGCTCAGCTTTCTTTATAGTCCAACTCTCACATCCATACATGACCACTGGAAACACCATAGCCTTGACTAGACGGACTAGACAAATTAATTAGGTCCAGTTAATTTTCAGTTTCAGGGTCAGCTTGTTTCCATTTCTTCTGAGGCCAATTCTCAGAACTGTGGCAGCTTCTGTCGTGGGTGCACTCTGCTCATTATATAGTTAACTTCTCCACCTGATGCGTGTTTCAGTGTCTATATGACAGCTCACCGGATATGGTCAGAATATCATCTATAGCCCTTGAGGAGGAACTGAAGGTCCTTGGCTTTGCTTCATGACTGCCTTCTTATTATTTGGTCTCTTGCCTATTCTCCTTTGTTTCTGCATGTTCTCCCTTCTCTGATTAAACTTAGTCTTTGGCTAAAGTTTTTCCGCAGACAAAAGGCAGGTGGAGGACATGGGGGATGGGCAGGCAAGGACCATAGAGTCCTCCTCCGTTTCACCAACACTGGGGAGTAACCAAGGGAAAGGTCCAGGCTGATTCTGGATAACTGCCCTGTGCAGAAAGCACTTGTCAGCAGCAAAATTCTCTTGAGATCAAGAGATACTGCAAACTTCAGACCTAATGTCATGTCTTAATTTCCTAAGTTTACAAGAATTTTTTGACTAGTTTATACCTCTGCTACATCCTACGATGTACCCAACAAAGCAATGACCCATGAAACCTTTCAAGGGGAAAAAAAATGAAAGAAAAAAAAATGTCAACTATAGTGAACTGAGCAATGAAAAAAACTGAAATTCTGATTTATCTCTCTGCTTTTAGGAAAATCTCAGTGTGGCAGAATCATTACTAACTCGTCTGGAGCTATCAGGAATCCCCCTCGGAACAAAATGCATGACAACATAACGTGTGTGTGGGAAATCAGAGCTAACGCATCTGATCACATACGACTGGCGTTTCCATATCTTAAGTAAGTCGGAAGGACTTTCCTGAAGTGCGCCGTGTGGTTTAAGATTCCAGGCATTTACTCCTTTGGTTTATTCTTGTAATTAAAAGAGTTTTTCTTTTTAAGTTTCTATTTTGAACTAACTACAGACACATAAGAAGCTACAAAAATAACAGAGTGCCATGTCCCCTTGACTCTTCTTTCTCCATTGGTGACATCTTATATAACTGTAGAACAGTGTCAAAAACACAAATCTGACATTAGTATAATGCTGTTAGCTGGAATATAGACTTACTCAGTTTTCACCATTTTTCTCTTGCACTTATGTGTGTGTGTGGTTCTGTGCAGTTTCATCCCATGTATAGGTTCACTGGGTTTCCCCAGTGGCTTAGTAGTAAAGAATCTGCTGGAAGTACAGGAGCTGCAGGAGATGTGGGTTCAACCCCTAACTTGGGAAGATCCCCTGGAGGATGTGTTTTTGCCTGGAGAATCCCATGGACAGAGGAGCCTGGTGGGCTACATTCCATAAGGTCGCAAAGAGTCAGACACAACTAAAGCAACTTAGCACGCACACACACATCCATACGTCCATGAAACCACCACTACAATCTAGAACAGTGATCCCCAACGTTTTGAGCATGAGGGACCAGTTTCATAGAAGACAATTTTTCCACAGATGGCGTGGGGATGGTTTCAGGATGATTCACGTGCATTATGTTTGTTGTGCACTTTATTTCTATTATTGTATCAACTCCACGTCAGATTATTAAGCATTAGGTCCCAGAGATCGGGGACCCTTGATCTAGAAGCAGAGAGTGTGTTCCCTGACCACAAAGGGGTAACTACTTTATCCTTCATTTTTACAGCCACCCCAGCCCCTGTCCCTGGCAGCCACTAAACTATTTTCCAGCTATCTGTATATTTTGAGACCATTCAATCTATGGAGTCATGCAGTATATATTCTTTTGAGATTCACTTTTTCTCACTCAGCTTAAGACCCTTGAGCTCCATCCAGGCTGTTGTCTATCAAGAGTTTGTTCCTTGTCATTGCTGAGAAGGTTTCCATTGTGTGGAAACCAGAGTTTGTACAACTATTTCTTCCAGTGAAGGACATTCGGGCGGTTCCTAGCCCCTCTATTATATATAAAGCTTCTATGAGCATTCATATGCAGGTTTTTGCATGAACTTAAGTTTTCATTTCTCTGAGATTGATGATTGAGAATCAATTGCTAGGTTGTGTAGTATGTACATTTTTAGCTTTTAAAGAACATATCAAACTATTTTCCAGAGTGACTGCCATTTTGCATTCCTTCCAACACTATATGACAGATCTAATTTCTCCATATCCGAGCCAGCATTTGCTGTTATTTTTTGTATTTTTGTTGTTTTTGTTCAATCATATCTGTCTCTTTGTGACCCCATGGACTGCAGCATGCCAGGCTTCCCTGTCCATCACCAACTCCTGGAGCTTGCTTAAACTCATGTCTACTGAGTCAGTGAGGCCATCCAACCATCTCATCCTCTGTTGTCCCCTTCTCCTCCTGCCTTCAATCTTTCCCAGAATCAGGGTCTTTTCTAATGAGTTGGCTCTTTGCATCAGGTGATATCCATTAATTTTGTATTAGCTGTCATTTTTAGCAAACAGGTCTTATATATGTTTTGTTAGATGTGTATGTTGGTGTTTCTTTTTTCTTTTCTCTTTTGGAGTGATTGTAAATAATACTGTTTTATAATTTTGGTTTCTACATGTTTGTTAGAAATATGATTGATTTTTGTGCCCATGAATTTGTACCTAAAATGAAATTCACCTTGTATGCTTTGTATGGGGGTGTGTGTGTGTGTGTGATGGGGTGTGAGAGACAGAGCTTGATTGTATGTATGTATTTCAGCTTGCTGGTTAAAGATGCAGATTCTATGGAACCCTCAGACCTAATAAAACAGGAAAGTTTAAATTTTCATATTGTAAACTGTCAAGGTTGCTATTATTCATAGGTGAATGTCTTACAGAAACTAACCTTCAGAAACAAATTATTTATTGCTCTTGACTTTTGCTTCATCAAAATATGACTTGGAACAGACATCTCATCAGGCTGAGATGTGCAAATGGTTCTCTGATTCCCGTGTTCTGCACAGAGCTTCACAATAAAGAACAACACAATCAGATGACTTCCACAAAGCCGGCTGAGCCGATTTGGTGGTGCACCTCCCTCTCAGACAGGTTGGCTGCTGAAAGCCTGGACGTAGGCTGTTTGGACCCTGAAGCCACATCCTAGTGGCTGCCCATTGGCTGGCCCTGCGCCTGGGCCCAGGTTTCAAGGTACCTGTGGCCTCAGGGTGCTCAAGGCCTCATCAGGGTTACACTTACTGCACCAGGCTTTTCTCCCCTCTTCTAGTTAAAATCCCATCCCCAAAGGCAATGGCTCTCAGAAAAAAATGGGGTAAAGGCTATCTGCTATGTTTGGGCCCACCCTGCTGGTTCAGAAAGTAAAGAATCTGCCTGCATGATCTGGAGCTGGGCTGTCTGCCTGGGGACTCTGGGATTTCAGGTGAGAGACTCAGCCTCTCCACGCCCCGGTCCTGTCCCTATGTAATGGAGAGAAGAGAGCCTTACTTCCTAGGTTTGCTGCGAGCGTTCCCGGAAAAGATGCAAGTAGAGCCCTCTGCACAGTGCTGCCCGTGATAAATGCTCAGTAACTGGCAGCCTCATCACAGGCTGTTCTTTCTCATGTAACCATCTGATGGCAGGCAGCCCGCTAGGAAGCCACTGCTGAAATCACTCTGAGTACTAGGTGGGTATCTACAGAAGGTCTGATCCCAGCCTAAGGGAGTCTCATGTACAGTCTAGAAGGAATTCAAGACAAACACATGTAACACAATTCGAGGACAAATAAAACACAGTGGCGTTAGCGGTAAAGAACCCGCCTGCCAAGTCAGAAGACGTAAGAGATGAGAGTTCGATCCCTAGGTGGGAAGGATCCCCTGGAGAAGGGCATGGCAACTCACTCCAGTGTTCTTGCCTGGAGAATCCCATGGACAGAGGAGGTGTCCTGAGGACATGCAGCGATGGGTCCTGTACTGTTTACCATGAAGAGGAAAGAATCTGAACTGGTGAAGAATTCTAGCATCCCCCGTGTCCAGGAAGCTGCTCATGAGTCTGTAATCTTAGCAAGTGCTGGAGGAACTCACTGAGTGAGCTCGGGGACCATGCTGTTAAACACAGGGAGACACTCTGTCACAAGGTGGGCCGGGGGAAGTCACTGAGATTGGCATTGAACAGTTACTGATGATGATTCTCTTGTATTTGCAGATGCTGTTTCCCAGACCCCACATCTAATCAGTGAGTCACCTTTATAGTCCATGGACTTTTCCAGGCAAGAGTACTGGAGTGGGTTGCCACTGCCTTCTCCAGGGGATCTTCCAGACCCAGGGATCGAACCCGGGTCTCCCACATTGCAGGCAGACGCTTTACCATCTGAGCCAGCAGGGAAGTCCTTTACTGACATTACTTAATCTTAATTCCACGTTCATATTTATTCCCCTGTCCCCGCTCCTGGTGTATTTACTGTCATAGTCTGACCTCTCTTATATATGATTCCTGATTTCCTTTGTAAGCCCACATTATTTGAGAGATTCTGTCTACACAAGTTACACAAGTATGAAGAATGTAGTAGAACTAAATTACACTCATTAACCACAGGGTACTGTATATTGATAAACTATCCATTTGATTTCCTTAATTCCTTGTTTTTATCAAAGACAATGACGGGCATCTAATCAGACACTCCACATGCAGGGAGAGTTAATAGCAAAAGCCAAAAGCAGAAGCTTGCAGAAGAAAGAGCTGTTTTCCCCAGNAAACTATCCATTTGATTTCCTTAATTCCTTGTTTTTATCAAAGACAATGACGGGCATCTAATCAGACACTCCACATGCAGGGAGAGTTAATAGCAAAAGCCAAAAGCAGAAGCTTGCAGAAGAAAGAGCTGTTTTCCCCAGAAGGGCACTGATGGCGAATGTATTTTAACACAAAATGGCACAATATAAATGCCAAATTTCCATGGCTGGGTAGAGGAGGGAATATTATTTCTGTTGGATCTCACAGCCCTGGCCAACATCGAGACTCACCTGTGAGGAGAATTTGACTTCAGAGGTCACAGAGTATAAGGACGATAGGGAAAATGAATTAGCCAGAATTTTGGCATTTAGTGGAGGCTGAACTCAGACTTGTCTGCATCCTCCCATTTTACTCAAGGGTGTCTTCTTGTATCCACAGCAATCCCAATAGCAACACCCGGAGTGGTGACAGCAAGACCGGGTAAGCCATGGAACACACACATTCCTCATCCACTGTCCTTGCCTCTGAGTGCCTGTGTTAATGCCTGCATCTGTCACTGCCTCGAAGGTAGAGGCTGGACTGACTGCAAGTGGTTCATCTATTTGCAACGGGCCCACTGACCCTGTGCAGACTTTTCAGGACCATTCAGAGCTCTTGGGATCTTTTGGCTCTAGCATCCTAGAACAAGCAGAATTCCTTTTTTCAGCACCTTTCTGAGTCATCAAAGCCTGACCAACTTATAAGCACCCTCTAGTGGGCTTCTGCCTTTTCTTTTTACGGCCTGTCCTGCTCATGGTTAACCTCACACCTGCATCACTAATAGACTTGTTCCAAGTGAGTAGAGTGCCAGAGGCATTCCAGGGGCAGTGAGCTGGAATAGCAGAGAGAAGAAAAATAGTGAATTTCAGAAGCAGGAGAAATGAGTTGAGATCAGCTACTGACTAGACATGGGATTTAGGGTAAGTCACTTTGCTTCTCTGGGCATCCCCAGTGGCTGACCAGTAAAGAATCTGCCTGCAATGCAGGAGCCGTAGGAGATGCAGGTTTGATCTCGGGATCAGGAGGATCCCCTGGAGAAGGAAACAGCAACCCACTCCAGTCTTCTCGTCTGGAAAATCCCACGGACAGAGAAGCTGGACAGGCTGTAGTCCATGATGTCACAAAGAGCTGAACAAGACTGAAGCGACTTAGGACATGCTTCTCCAGCTATCAGTGTCCTCAGAGATAAAGCTGGCTTATCTTCCAGAGTTACTATGAAGTCGAAGGTGGACACACAAACACGTACACACACTCAAAATCACTGTGGCTTTCTGTGATACTGTTTTTCTGCATTTAGCCAACACAGATTTGCATATAGCTCTGGCCCAATAGATGTTCATTTAATGCATGTTTTAGGCTAAATGTTGTTTTGACAGTTTTAGTGACTTTTGTGTCACTTTAGTGACACTTTTGTTTTTTACTTTTGTGACTAGTTGACTGACCGTTTACTGAGTTCTCCATCCCGAGCAGTAGTGTGGGGTGAGGAGCTCAGCTGGCCCCAGGGGAGNTCCCGCTGTCCTCCGAGGGTCTCCTGGGGACTCACAGGCCCCTCTCTGTCTGCAGGGGACTGGCCGAAGCTGCGGCTGGTGGGCGGCTCAGGTCGGTGCTCAGGACGCGTGGAGGTCCTGCACCGTGGGGCCTGGGGCACCGTGTGCGACGACCTGTGGGACCTGAACGAAGCCGAGGTCGTGTGCCGGCAGCTGGGGTGCGGTCGGGCCGTGTCCGCCCTCGGGAAGGCCCACTTCGGCCCAGGCTCTGGAGACATCTTCCTGGACAACCTGCAGTGCGCCGGGGCGGAGCGCTACCTGGGCCAGTGTGCCCACTCGGGCTGGTCGGAGCACAACTGTGGCCACCACGAGGATGCCGGGGTCATCTGCTCAGGTAGCCTCTCCTCCCCCCGCCGGTCACCACCCACGTGCCTCAGGACCACCCTGCTGGGATTCAGAGTCAGCCGGGGGCAAAGACAGTCTTCCCCGGTGGCTCTGCAAGAAAGAACCTGCCTGCCAAGCAGGAGATGCAGGTGCAATCCCTGGGTTGGGAAGGTCTCCTGGATAAGGAACTAGCAACCCGCTCCGGTATTCCTGCCTGGGAAATCCCACGGACCTGGAGGCCACAGTCCATGGGGTTGCAAGAGTTGGACAGGACTTAGAGACTAAACCGCCGCCACCAGGGGTGAAGACAGGATCCTCAGCACGTAGCATTTGATGTTTGCTTTATCCCTTTAGGGCTTCCCTGGCGGCTCAGCTGGTAAAGAATCCGCCTGCAATGCGGGAGACCTGGGTTCCATCCCTGGGTTGGGAAGATCCCCTGGAGAAGGGAACAGCTACTCACTCCAGTATTCTGGCTGGAGAATTCCATGGACTGTGTAGTCCATGGGGTAGTCAAGAGTTGGACACAACTGAACGACTTTCACTTCACTTCATTTCACTTATCCCTTCTAAATTGGTTGAACAGATAAGATTTTAACTGATTCCCAGAATAAAATATTAAAATTTTCTAATTTGAGAGTAAGAATTACCAAAGGGATGTGTGCCTTACTGCATACAGATATATGAAAAAAGCATGGTTAATTATGGGGGTTTTTAAGGAGTATTTCTAAAGGTCTTTGTTTAAAGGGGCAGCCAATATAGTAAATATAAGGAAGATTGCAGAGCTGGGCAAACTTGAGTCTGGATCTCGGAGCTGGTGATGACACTCAGACAGCATTTGATCAACTCTGAAGCTCTTGGAGCCTCAGTTTCCTCATCTGTAAAATGAGGAGACTGCTTGCATTCTGGCAGGATTGCTGAAAGGACTCCTTCACGCTGTCTTTTGGATAGCACCTTCAGAGTATCAGTACCTGACAAAGGGCTGCATTCTTAGCAGTTTTTACTACCGTTTTTCTCACTCAGTCATCTAACACCAGAGAATCAGTAAACTAAAATGGCTGATTTTAATTACCTTGGGACAGCTTTTCAAAGTACTTTGGCATAGAGACTTCCTCAGAAGTCTAGTGGTTAAGACTTCACCTTCCAGTGCAAAGGGTGAGGGTTCGATCCCCAGTGAGGGAGTTCCGATCCCACATGCCTTGGGGCCAAAAAACCAAAACATAAAACAGAAGCAATACTGTAACAAATTCAATAAAGACTTTAAAAGTGGTCTATGTCAAATATATATATATATATTTAGATGTGAACAGTTAGAAGTGTGTTAATCACCTCTGGAGGTCTAGTAATAGCCCTCTCCAGTAGAGAGATATCTCTATAAACTAGCAGCTGTAATACCCAGAGTGATTCGAGAGATTGGGTAGCTAGAACTTGAAAGACTGCTTGTTCACGGACATGCCACATGAGATGGAGCTGGCGCCTGGGACTTTTAACCGGTTGTTGTTGTTCAGTCACTAAGTCGTGTATGATTCTTTGCAACCCCATGGACTGCGGCATGCCAGGCTTCCCTGTTCTTCACTATCTCCCAAATTAGTCAGTAGTCCTATCTAACCATCTCATCCTCTGCCGCCCTCTTCTCTTTTTGCCTTTGATCTTTCCCAGCATCGGGGTCTTTTCCAATGAGTCAGCTCTTTGCATCAGGTGGTTTAACTGGGGGCACGTCTTTTTAAAATTAATTTATTTTTCTTTATTTGGCTGTTCCAGGTCTTAGTTGTGGCACTAGGGGTCTGAAGTCTTCCTTGGAGTGTGCTGGGTCTTTAGACATAGCATGCAAACTCAGTTGCAGTATGTGGGGTCTAGTTCCCTGACTAAGGGTTGAACCTGAGCCCTTGCACTGGGAGTGCGGAGTCTTATCCACTGGACCACCAGGGAAGTCCCAGAAGGTGCATCTTTTAAAACACTGTCTTGTTTGCTGGAGCATTCACTGACCCATCTGCTTACTTGGAGGTGTCTTATTATCTGTGGAATGTCCAACCCAGTTATAGCCTCATGGAGTGATTTTTATTCCTAAGTTTCAATGTTCTGGAGAATGACTGTACAAATCTGAAGTGTGGAGTGTTAGTCGCTCAGTCGTGTCTGACTCTTTGCGACCCCATGGACTATAGCTCGCCAGGCTTCTCTGTCCATGGGATTCTCCAGGCAAGAATACTGGAGTGGATAGCCATTCCCTTCTCCAGGGCATCTTCCCAACCCATGAATTGAACCCATTTCTCCTGAATTGCAGGCAGATTCTTTACCATCTGAGCTACCATGAGATGCTCCCAATGTGAAATTCATCTGCTACAAAATCAGGAGTCTAGGTCATATCATCCCAAATGTGCCCATCCATCTGACCATTTTCTCAAAGCACAGTAGCCAACCAACCACCAGCAAGAAGCTTCCTAGGTCTATAGCTGAATCCGTTTCTCCAAGTGCTATGGTCTTTCCAGGGACTCATTTTTCCCATATCAGATGAATAATCATTTATAAGGATGTAAGGAGAATCTTTGCTGTTGGTTATAAAAGTCAGGATTTCAGAAAAAGACTGACATATTTTTTCTCTGCATAAACAGATGCGGGAGACTCATCTAGTAGCTCAGGTAGGTCACGCCTTTTTTTTGATGGAACTTGAATATCAGCTGTTTGTGATTTATTGCTGGACTCAGTTCATTCTTTGTCTAAGCTGATGATACTTTCATGGCTTTAAGATGCCATTTAAAAGTGTTATTTGGAATTACTCCTTTTGATATTGTTACAGGTGATGATGTCCCTGTGTGTGTGTTAGAGACACATATGTGCAGGCGTGACATGGCACTTCAAGGGCCTTTTGCAAAAACTTTTCCCCTCACTCAGAGGCATTTCCCTGACTGTCCTTGACTGGCTCTTTCTCAGTGTTTTAAGAGGAGTCTTGCAGCCACTCCCCATCACTCTCTTGAGTGCACTCTCGTCTTTTCACGGCCTTGTACTGATGTGAGAAAACATTACACTCGCGTCTGTGTTTGACTAACAAATAGACTGCATGGCTCCCTGAGGCAGGAGCCATGCCTCTTTGATTTACAGCCATATCATCAGAGCGTAACGGGAAAGGCAGTCAGTTTCACTTTGAACACTGCTGAAATGACATCACACTGACTGAAGGCCCCGCAGTCTGCACGCAACTCAGACACACATGAGAAACACGAGGGACAGGCCCCAGGGGTCAAGACAGGGTGTGTCCCTGCACGCCCGCATCGTCCCGCTGTCCTCCGAGGGTCTCCTGGGGACTCACAGGCCCCTCTCTGTCTGCAGGGGACTGGCCGGAGCTGCGGCTGGTGGGCGGCTCAGGTCGGTGCTCAGGACGCGTGGAGGTCCTGCACCGCGGGGCCTGGGGCACCGTGTGCGACGACCTGTGGGACCTGAACGAAGCCGAGGTCGTGTGCCGGCAGCTGGGGTGCGGTCGGGCCGTGTCCGCCCTCGGGAAGGCCCACTTTGGCCCGGGCTCTGGAGACATCTTCCTGGACAACCTGCAGTGCGCCGGGGCGGAGCACTACCTGGGCCAGTGCGCCCACTCGGGCTGGTCGGAGCACAACTGTGGCCACCACGAGGACGCCGGGGTCATCTGCTCAGGTAGCCTCCCCTCTCTCGGGCTACAATTTCAGATGTTGTGGTTGAAGACGTTGCGAAACTTTGCATCCCAGGTGGAATTTTTCAACCAGCCATCCATCCATCTGCTCATTCTGTTGTCAGCCAATCCATGAGTGCCCACTGTGTGCCAGGCGCTGGGCCCAGGCACACGCCCTACCCCGGGCAGCCCCCGGTTACACTTGGGAGGCCTTGAATGTTAGCGTGAACTGGCACCCCCACAGCCTCACCTTGCTGAATCCTGGACCCCACCCCACCCCAGAGATGGTGATCAACTAGGTTTGGGAAGGGACGCTGGAATCTGCATTTTAACAGATGATCCAGGTGATCCTGCAAAAGAGGGGCCATGGGTAATCCAGCCCTGGTGAGCGGGGGGCAGAGTTGACCTAGAGGCTCTACCCCACCCTCCAAGGCCAAGGACCCTGCTGGAGGAGGACTGGAGTGAGCCAGGAGCAGCATTCTGAGTCCTGGGCCCAAAAAGACGGTGGTCCTCCCCACTTCATCCCCACCTGCCCCCTTGTGACCCTATCTCCTCCACTTTGGATTCACTAAAGAGAGTGACCTGTTGTCTTTCTTTGTGCATTCAGATTCAGAAGACCTGCCTCCTCCCACACCTCCAGGTATGTCCACATTTTTTCTTGTTCAGGCAACTTTATAATAATAATAATAACATCGAATACTTATAAATGCTTTCAGGCACTGTTTTGGGGCCTTATACCTATGTAACTTACTTAATCTGGACAATAACCTCTTAAAGTAAGTTATTTGATTATTCCCATTTTCCAGATAGGTAAACTGAGACACAGAAAATTAGTAACATACCCAGGGGTAGCCAGTGGACTTGAACCACAGGTGTCAAGCCCTGAATGTGTTCTGTGTATTCCTGGGGGAGACCAGCTTTATGTGTTGGGGTTGTGAGTGAGAGGAGAAAGGTCATCTAAAGTTAAAGGGCCAGCGCTGGGGTCAAGGGCAGTGGGTATTCAAATAAAGCCTCATCTGTAGTTTTCCCATTTATATAATTCAGCTAAACTGAAAATTACATGGATGATGGGGAAATGGGGAAGACCATATTGCATGAATGATGGCTCAGTGGTAAAGAATCCACTTGCAATACAGGAGACTTGGGTTCGATCCCTGGGTCGGGAAGATCCCCTGGAGTAGGAAATGGCAACACAGTCCAGCATTCTTGCCTGGAAGATCCCATGGATAGAGGAGCCTGGTGGACTACGGTCCATGGACTTGCAAGAGTCAGACACGACTTAGCATCTAAACCATCACCACCATACTGCATGAAAGGAGCCATCCTGCTCCTCTCCTGCTCTAAAATGCAGTGGTTTAAAGCAACAACTACTGAATTATGAGCCGCGGTTTGGTGGGTCAGGACCTGGGGCAGGGCTTGGCTGGGAGAGTCTTCTGCTCCACATAGTGTAGAGCAGGCTTACCCAGTGGCGGCCCTGGAGAGTCCAGGACAGATGCACTCTCACGCCTGGGATCCTGGTGGCGGCTCAGCCAAGGGCCTGCTTCTTCTCCAGGTGGTCTCAGGGCCTCTTTAGAGGGCCTCTCCAGCAGGGGAATCAGATTCTTACAGAGTGGCTCAGGGTGCCATGAGCACCCAGAGACGGGAAGTGGAAGCTGCCAGTCTTTCTTATGGAACAGCTTCTGCCATATTCTGCTGGTCTGAGCTTCCACAGAGCCCACCCAGGCTCCAGGGAGGGGACCAGACCCCCCCCCCACCCCTTGACCAGAACCTGTAGCCTTCTTTAGCCTGCCCCAAGACCGTAGAGGACATTCGGTCAGCACCTTCACACTTTTCTCCATTTGCCCTATGTACGTGGACATTTCTAAGGAAACCCTTTACATTTTGCTAACTTGTAGATGAGACTAATTCTGATGTCAGCATTATCTCCCTTTTTTTTTCCTTCTAGGTCTTTCCACAGCGTCTCAGGATCATGTAACAGGTAGCCGCTTGTTTTAAACTGACATGGTAACTCTATTCCAAAAGAACCACCAGAGGAAATGCTAGGCGGTGTGCCCAGGACAGGGCACAAAGGCTGGCTTAGTGTGGGTGAGGGGCTGCCTGTGCTGCCCAAGCTACACCCGCCGCAGCCCCTCCCAGCAGAAGGCGGGGCGGCCAGGACTCAGCCCAGGACCAGCTCTGTCCGCACACGCCCCGCCCCCACCGCGCTGAGAGGCGTGGCGTTAGTGCCGCCGGTGCCTGGAAATGCTGACTTTTTAACTAAAGCAGCAGTTGGGAAGGGGCGTGTGGATCTGCCCAGATCAGAATAGGCAGGAGGGTGACAAGGAACTCGGAAGAAAATGTGGCTCAGTCCATCTGCCCATTCTCAGCCTGCGTCCTATGGGCACAGTCCTGTAATAGGAACCCGCAACAGGTACCAGCCCATCACCGCCTGCCATGTGTAGCTCAGTTCAGTTCAGTTCAGTCGCTCAGTCGCGTCCGACTCTTTGCGACCCCATGGACTGCAGCACTCCAGGCTTCCCTGTCCATCACCAACTCCCAGAGTTTACTCGAACTCATGTCCATTGAGTCAGTGATGCGATCCAACCATCTCATCCTCTGACGTCTCCTCCTCCTGCCCTCAATCTTTCCCAGCATCAGTGTCTTTTCAAATGAGTCAGCTCTTCGCATCAGGTGGCCAGAGTATTAGAGTTTCAGCTTCAGCATCAGTCCTTCCAATGAATAGTCAGGACTGATCTCCTTCAGGATGGACTGGTTGGATCTCCTTGCAGTCCAAGGGACTCTCAAGAGTCTTCTCCAACACCCCAGTTCAAAAGCATCAATTCTTCTGCACTCAGTTTTCTTTATGGTCCAACTCTCACATCCATACATGACCACTGGAAAAACCATAGCCTTGACTAGACGGACCTTTGTTGGCAAAGTAGTGTGTAGAGGCTTCGAGAAACCCAGTCCTGGGGGTTTTAGCGTCAGTCTGATGTTTGTAACCTACAAACAGCAGTCCACACTAGCTCCCTGGGCTGGCTGTGTCCCTCACCACTTCCCACCCTCCATCACAGGAAAGACCAGGAATCTGAGATTCTGGGAGGATTACAAGGTGTTCAGGGGAGAAAGAAGAAAGTTCAGCATCTTCATAATTTGGGTACAAGGTCGATAAAATGTTATGCTTTCAGATTTCCTCCAAAATAATTTGATGATTCGAAGTTTTCTGCTTTTTTTGTGTGGTGTGCTGTTTCAAATTTATATGTTTGTGTGTGTGTATAGTTATATAATATGACAAGCAGAATGGAGGAGTTAGATTTCACTTGTTTAATTCTTGAAAGTCCAAAACCTATAAGCGCCAGTCTCAATGGATATGGAGCTGAAGGAAAGACAACCTACCCAGAAAAAGTGGTGAAAAAGTAGTTTAAAGGGAGGTCCCAGTCACACCCTCCCAGAACAGTCCACACCACCCCCTTTGTCTTCAGTTCCTCAGGCCCTCAGCTCCTCAAAGTCACCCCTTCCCCACCACGTACAGCTCCATCTCTGTCTCTGCCTCTCTTTCCCAAACCCTCAAGCCAATCAGCTCCACCTGTCTCCCAGCAAGTGAGACCTTCCACTTTAGAAAGAGTCAACAGGACAGAGATAATATTTTCCCCATTGGATGACAGAGGGAAGCAGTGCGTTCTGCTGCTGCTGCTGCTAAGTCGCTTCAGTCGTGTCCGACTCTCTGCAACCCCATAGACGGCAGCCCACCAGGCCCTTCTGTCCCTGGGATTCTCCAGGCAAGAATACTGGAGTAGGTTGCCATTTCCTTCTCCCAGTGTGTTCTGACCCATCACAATTAGACTGAATAGACTCTCCTTCCCGGAAGATGCTTAGGCTACAGATCTGTTAATTCAGACTGCAGCCTGAATCCCCCAGGTCCTTAGTGGGATTACATAAGTGACGCCATGGAGACATATCCTGACATCCTTTTTCCTGCTGTTTCAGGAGAAAGGAACTCTTGTGGAGGGGTCATTTCTAGTCTCTCTGGCTCATTTTCCAGTCCGCTGTATCCAGAAAACTACCCAACAGACATCCAGTGTGTGTGGGAGATCCACGTGGATAAGAAGTTCCGCATAGAACTCATGATTCCAACTCTGAAGTAAGAAAACAACTTTTTAAAAGAAGTGTGTGCATGCTTCGTCACTTCAGTTGCGTCCGACTCTTTGTGACCCCGTGGACTATAGCCCACCAGGCTTCTTCTTTGCCTGGATTCTCCAGGCAAGGATACTGGAATGGGTTGCCATACCCTCCTCCAGGGGATCTTCTCAACCCTGATCTTCTCAAACCCGTGTCTCTTAGGTCTCCAACATTGACAGGCAGGTTGCTTATCACTGGCACCACCTGGGAAGCCCCCTTTAAAAGAAGAGTCTACCTAAATAAGAATATTGCCTTGAAAAAATTCAGTAAATGGCTTAATTCACGTATTTGACTTAACATTACTATGAGGGTTCTTTTTTTATTTATTTAAAAAAATTGTCCTTTTCAGCTTTGCCCTCATTGTACACTGGGTACCAATATTCATCCTCTTAGACTTTCTTTTTCTTTAATCTGAGTTTTAAGCAAGCAGTAAGAGGCTTTACCTACACATGCATTAGGCGACTACTCCAGCCATGAGCCCTGCATCCTCTATATGTTACCTTAAAATGAAGTGAGATGGTAGTCATTGCTTCATCTCTGACATAAAAAGACTCTCCTAAGTCACTGCCATTCTCTTCTTATCAGTTCATAAAATAAAAACGGACACTTTTAGTGTGCTCAGGCTCTGCACTTTGTGTTCCGTATGCTTTGTCACGTTGCAGGGTCACTATAGCCCTAATAAAGATGGCCTTATCACCCCAGTTAAAGATTAAGAAGCTGAGACTCAGAGAGGTTACTCACCAAAGGCCAACCTTCTAGGTCCATTGGGTGTCAAAGGCCCAGCTCGTCACCAGCATACAGTGCTGTAGGGTAGTCTGCACAAAGCCCTTCTTGTTGGCTACGACACACACCATGCAACAAACACAGCAATAACGTGACATGCTATGAAAATCCCCCGTTAGCATGCACTGCATTGTTCTCAGCCCATGGAATCAGACACACCCTATCCCAAAGAATATTCTAGAAGAGTATTATCTTTGTCAGTTGAAACCCTAAGGACACAGCCCTCAATGAGGTGAGTACCTTGAACCCACACCTCTAAAACCTATCATGTTATCAGTTATCCATTTCTTCTTCAAAATCAGCCCTCGGGACTTGGTTAAGACTCTGTACTTCGAATGCAGGGAGCCCAAGTTCGACCCCTGACTGGGGAACTATAAGATCCCACATGCCATGTGGCGTGGTCAAAAACAACAACAACCAATCAGCCCTCATATACATCCCTGTGAATAATTATCAAGGTGCAAATACGGTTCCACATGCTGACTTTGTTTTTATTTCAAAATCAAGGTTTTTCTCCCCAAGAATTTGGGTATGAAGAATGTTGTGAAATACAGAGGTAGGAAAATTGGGTTTTGATGTCAGTTACATGTTGATCAGTTGGGGTGACTTTGTTGTTAAGATTTTATGTGCAGTGTACATTTGCCTCTCCTGAGGTTTCATGTGAGTTGTGATTGGCTAAAATCAGTATGATTTCTGAGTTTCTATTGCTGAGCTGTGGCCATAAACCTCACACATTCTTCAGAAAGAGATAAAAGGAGTTTTGCTAATAAGGCATCTGAAAAGGTTAATTGATATTTTATGTATTACTATGCAATTCAAAGTATAATCCAAATAGTTAATTCTGTGCGTGTCATAATTTTCAAGCTTTAAGATCTAGGAAGCCCTGGGACTTCCCTGGTGGTCCAGTGGTTAAGAATCTGCTTCCATGGCAGGGGGCAGAGATTTGATCCCTGACCGGGGAACTGAAATCCAGCATGTCACATAGCCCAACCAAAAAATAAATAAAAATAAGCCTAAGTAAGCAATTAAAAAAAAAATGTAGGAAGCCCTAACCAGCTGCTAAGCCTCTGCTGTGATTCCCCCAGACTGGAAGATATCCTTGGATGCCCGTACGACTCAGTCGAAATCTTCGACGGCCCCAGGATCGCCTCGCTCTCCGTGGGGAAGTTCTGTGCCTCAGCAGCTGTGATGTTTTTCTCCTCCTCTGACATCCTGACTGTGGTGTTCCGAAGTGATTCCATGATCACCAACACTGGCTTTTATGCTCTGTTCAATGCGATTCCCCAGGGCAGAAGAGAATCAGGTAGGAAGCTTCAAGTAGGCTTTTGGCCTTGAAAAAAAAAAACAGAATAGTTTTCTAATTTAAGGGATCCTCCTATTAGCAGAAGCATGGGCTTCAGTTTTAAAACCTCCCCTACAATTAACCAGAAAGGCCCTGCTGTATCACTGCTAGCTTTTTCCACTCAGAGGGCCTCGTGGGCAATTGAAGTAAAGCAGTGATGGGCTTCCCAGGTGGCGCTAGTGGTAAAGAACCCACCTGCCGATGCAGGAGATACAGATTCCATCCCTGAGCCGGGGAGATTCCCTGGAGGGGGAAATGGCAACCCACTCCAGTATTCTTGCCTGAAAAATTCCATGGACAGAGGAGCCTGCAGGGCTACAGGCCATGGGGTCGCAAAGAGTCAGCCACGACTGAGCTTCTGAGCACATGTGCAGCCTGTGTGTGAATGGACAGGCAGCTCTCCGGGGCTGCCTCGTCACAGCCCTCCGCCCGGACCTGTTACTGTCCAGCGTGCTGAAAGGTAAAGTCAGACTTTCAAGAATTCTCCTCCCTCCACCAGCTGGCTCACTTTGCCTCCTTTGAACCCTAGACTCACCACATAAGAGGCTTGGGGACTCCTTAATGGACAGACCCTATGGCTCATCATTCCAGAGCCAGGTCCAGTTTGCACCAAAAAAAAAAAAAAATACTTATCTGCCAGATGTGGGGCCACAGTAACTCAGGTCACTAGGAATTCAGGTAGAAACTTCCAGTTTGTATTTTGAGGCCAGTGGGGTGAAGGGTGTTTCTGAATGAGGGAATTCCTTAAATATTTGACTTTCCAAAGGCATGTGTGAGATCTTGCCCTGGGGAGGCTAAGTAAAGTCCAGGGGTTGAAGTCCAGACCATTCATTGACTCAGGATCATCATTTACAAATCCAATAATATTCACTAAGGTCCTTCTATGTGCCAGCCCCAGGCAGAAGTGCTGGGGACGCAGCCAACAGTACAGAACCCTCCCCCTGCAGTTTACGGTAGGGCGGGTATGGGTGAGTGGGGGAGGATCAAGACACAACAAACAAGCAGATAAACAAGATGATGTGAGGGTGGTGACAAGGTTGGGAACACAGAGCCACGTGGGATGGAGGAGCCGCTGCTGTGGACTGAAAGGGGATGGCTGGCCTTGCTAAGGGGGCCATACGTGAGGAGTGACCACACAGGGCCATTCCAGGCGGAGAGAAGAGCAACGCACGGGCTCCCAGGGAGGAAAGAGTTGGACGTGTCCAAGAAACTGAAAGAAGGCAGAGCCTGTGAGCACAGTAAGGGAAGAATGTCCCCAGGTGTCTCCAGGGGACTGCACGTGATTCCAGCTGGCCGTAGCCTGTCAGCCCAAAAACAGCAGGTCCCTTTGGGCTTTATGGAGTCATAGACACCCTTGTGGCCAGGTGCCTTCAGGGGATTAAATCTACACTTATCCAAACACTTGTCCAGGACATGCCCAGAGAAGCAGCCAGGAACCCATTGCCCCAGGAACCCAGCTTTGTGATCCAGAGAACCACATGGCAAGATCTGCAGGACCCAAGGTGTATCGGGGCTGAGGGCTGTGCTTCATGTGCATGCTGTTATTGACTTGGCATCCCATTTTACAGATGAGGAAACTGAGGCCCGGGGAGATAATTTATCAAAGGTTACACAGTGAGGGAGCAGGAGAGCTGGAATCTAAACCCACCTCTGTCTCATGTATTACAGACTCAAGACAGCCTTAATAAGGCTTCATTCTTGCAGTTATTTGACTTAGCTGCAAATATAGGAGCTAGAAATCCTTCCTATTTAAAACTACCTAAACTCAAAGGTTTAGAAGATGAGCCAGAGCTGCGGCTGGTGGGCAGTTCTGGGCGGTGCTCTGGATGCGTGGAAATCCTGCACCAGGGAGCCTGGGGCACCATGTGTGATGACCTACGGGACCTGAAAGAAGCTGGGGTCATGTGCTGGCAGCTGGGGTGTGGTTGGGCCATCGCTGCCCCGGGAAAGGCCCACTTTGGCCCGGGCTCTGGAGACGTCCTCCTGGACAGCTTCCAGTGTTCAGGAAACGAGAGCCACCTTGGCCAGTGCCCCAGTTCCGGCTGGTCAGACCACAAGTGTGGTCACCATGAGGATGCTGGCGTTGTCAGCTCAGATACCTCTCCCTCTCCTCCAGGGGCAGGTTTTTTCTGATCCTTCAGTAGCTATGGGATGGTGGAAGGTGTGCACAGAGCAGGGCTGGTGCCCTGGCAGAAGGTGACCCTTCAGCCAGGCTAACAGAGAATGCCGAGAGCTGGGCTCTCTTGGGAACACACATCCAGGGCCACATAATTGTCAGGTCGTGTTTTCTGCAGCTCCTCTCAGGTCTGGAGCTGTTTACTAAACATGCCCTTTCTTGCTTGTGTAACAGGAAGCCTGCCTGCTTGGGATCTGCCCACACTGGAAAACCACCACTTGTCCTGATACAATTTAACTATCTTTTTTTAATGCATGCAGATGCAGGGGACTGGGCTCCAGACGTGACTCCTGCACCCCCAGGTAGGTCTAACCCTGCATTTCCAATATCTCTGCAAAGTAGATAAGAAATCTAACCTCTTTCAGGGAGATCCAGGTTCGATCCCTGGATCTGGAAGATCCCCTGGAGAAGGGAATGGCAACCCACTCCAGTATTCTTGCCTGGAGAATTCCATGGAGAGAGGAGCCTGGGGGGGGGGGCTACAGTCCTTGAGGTCGCAAAGAATCAGACACAACTGAGCAAGTAACATGCACAACCTCTTTCAGCATCCAGACACAGGTAGACAGTGACCTAGACACTGGAATCACCCAGGGAGCTTTAACATTTTATGATACTCAAGCTGCATGCCAGACCAGTCACATCAGAACCTCTGGGTCACACCCAGTCATCAGTGATATTTAAAACTTCCTGTGTAATTCCAGTGTGTGGTCAAGGCTGAGAGACAGTGGCTTGGACAAGAAGCTGAGAGTCACGTTGCCCAAATGAAATAGCATCCGACACTCTCCTGTCTGGACAGTGGATCAGAGAGGGGCAGGAGGGACTGAAAGAGATGGTCCATCGCAGTGGCCAAGCAGAGGGTTGATCTGGAGGGGAGGAGGTGGGAAGGTCTACCTCTCAAGAATATGAGTTAGAGAATGAAAGTGTGCAGGTAAACAAAGATGCACTGGATGTCGAATTCTCCCAGTGGGTCAAGAGCAGATTGGGGACGAGAAGCAAAAACAGCTGGGGCTCCTCTGGGAGCCTCCTGGCTTAGCCAGAATAACAGGGATAGAGGAAGGTACACCTTCTTCAGGTAACCTACTCAAAGTCCATGTGATCCACACCCCCCTACACTGGAGATTGCAGCTGTATCAGAGCATCCGGCACCCACCAGCCTCTGCAGAACAAGTTCTTAGCTGCCAGCTTCCCTGATCACTGGCACCCTGGGCCCCATCCAGCCTCCTCCCAGCCTTACCCAGTGACTGCGGGCACCCTCTGCCCTCCGTGAGAGCCTGGGTTGGGGAAGGTCAGGGGTGCACCTCACAGTGTTTGGGGGCCAGGCAAGGTGGCCAGCAGCTGCCCCAATCCTGGGCTGGCACCGCTACGGCATATGTGGAAGCACACTTGGTGGAGGCCTCTTTTCCTCCAGTCCAGGTCCCGAGGGCATCCCAGGTGCAAGTCACCATCCCTGGCAAGCCACCCTTCTGGGGTGGGTTGCAGAGGTGGGCCCGTGGGAAGGGGCCTGTCTTACTTCCTTGGACTCCTTGTCCAACCTGCCTTTCCTCACCATGGCTCTCAGCTTCCCAGGTTTGGTCCCTCGACATTTTGGCACCTGATAAATGTCTGCAGGGACAGTGGCATGCTCACAAGCCTGGTGCTGTGACTGTGGGTGATGCCTCATGACTGGTCACTCTCAGGACAGCCCTTGAGTTGGCAGACCCAGCGCAGAAGAGAAAACAAACCACATGACTGCGTTGTCTGTGATTTCATGGTAAATCACCAAAAGAAGGGGAGAAGCTACATCTCAGGTTGGGGAGCAAAGAGGAATGAGTGTGTCCATACCATGTATTAAGACTAGTAGCAGCTTCATTCATTTGCACTTAAGTAGAAGGTGATGTCATCGGACGAAGCTTTCCTGATTTTCTTTGGTTTCAATTTTTGCAGCTGCTGTTCCCCAAGCGCCTGTCCCACCAGGTAACTCTTCTTGCATTGAAAGTATAACCCATAAAGGATAGAATGATGATTGTTGTTGTTCAGTTGCTAAGTCATGTCCAACTCTTTTCGATCCAATGGACTGCAGCATGCCAGGTTTCCATGGTTTTCACTATCTCCTGGAGTTGGCTCAAACTCATGTTCATTGAGTCAGTGATGCCATACAACCATTTCTTCAACTTTTATGATTTAGAATTGTGGTGATAATTCATAAGAGTAGAATAGACATCCTATGTCCTGGCTGCATGAGGGAGAGGAGGTGAGGGATGGAGCCCTCCCAAATGGGTGGATTGTCTACATCTCAGTTGAGCTGATTTGCATGACAGGAAGCTGGGACAGGATTAATGATGTGTCCTTGACACCCCACAGCTGCCATATATATATCCAATCCATTTCCAGCCTCACCTACAATCTCAAGGTCCTTCCTACCCATCACACATCTTTCCGCCACCCTCACCCCCTCTTTGGGTGTACGACCACCCTCCAGCCAAGCCACGGCTATGTCGACACTAGCATGATCCCTTCCCATTTTGTGATTCACTCTTGGTTTGGTGGGACTCTGGAGTCTATACCTGGGAAAAGGTAAGGTACCTGTCTGAAGACTCCAGCCACGGGTCTCTTCATCCCGTTTTCACAGGAGGAAGTAGCTCCTGTGGGGGCGTCATTTCAAGTCTGTCCGGATCCTTCTCCAGTCCCCGGTACCCAACCAACTACCCCACTGACGTGGAGTGTGTCTGGGTGATCCACCTGGCCGAGAATTTCCGCATAGAGCTGGAGATCCCCAGCCTGAAGTAAGCAGTTGTGTCTTTTTCTGCTTCAAGGGCCAGATTGGATTTGAATCCGTGCTTTCCCCAGGAGGTTGCCTTTCCAAGTGCCTGAGTCATTAGCTGCTATAACAAAAATTTAGTAAACTAGGCATCTTAATAAACAACAGAAGTTTATTTCCTGTAGTGGCCCTGTGGTGTAATGGTTAGCACTCTGGACTTTGAATCCAGTGATCTGAGTTCAAATCTCTGTGGGACCTGACTATCTTTTGTGCTTCCCTGGTGGCTAAGATGGTAAAGAATCTGCCTGCAATGTGGGAGACCCAGGTTCAATTCCTAGATTGGGAAGATCCCCTGGAGAAAGGAAAGGCTACCCACTCCAGTATTCTTGCCTGGAGAATTCCACTGACAGAGGAGCCTGGCAGACCATGAAGTTGCATAAGTTGGACACCATTGAGTAACTAGATGACATGACGTGACGAACAAAAATATAATAGACTGGGTGTCTTAATAAACAACGAAAGTTTATTTCTGACACTTCTGCAGGCTGGCAACTCCAAGATACGTATACCAGCTGATTCAGTGTCTAGTGAGGACCTGCTCCCAGGCTCACAGATGGCTGTTTTCCATTATGACCTCGCGTGAGGGAGGGGAGCAGGAGCTTTCTCAGCCTCTTTCTAAGGGCTCTAATCCTGTCTTGAGGGGTCTGCCCTATCAACCTAGTCACTTCCCAAAGGCCCCACCTCCTAAGACTATTGCTATTGAGGGTTAAGTTTCAACAGATCAATTTTGAGGGGACACAAACCTTCTGCCTACAGCACCATCTAACAAATCCTTTCACATATTAGGTGAAAATTGGTCTGGTCATCTGAGCTTAAGGAGTTTTTTTAAAAAGTTATTTTTTTCAGATTGCATTTTATTTATTTTTTAAATTTATTTATTTTAATTGGAGGTTAATTACTTTACAATATTGTGGTGGTTTTTGCCATGAATTGACATGAATCAGCCTCAGGTGTACGTGGGTCCCCCCTCCCGAACCCCCTCCCACCTCCTTCCCCATCCCATCCTTCTGGGTTGTCCCAATGTACCAGCTTTGAGTGCCCTGTTTTATGCATTGAACTTGGACTGGAAATCTATTTCACATATGATAATATACACGTTTCAGTGCTATTCTCTCAAATTATCCCACCGTCACCTTCTCCCAGAGTCCAAAAGTCTATTCTTCATAACTGTATCTCTTTTGCTATCTCACAAAAGGTCATCATTCAGTTCAGCTCAGTCCCTCAGTCGTGTCCGACTCTTTTTGACCCCATGGACTGCAGCACACCAGGCTTCCCTGTCCATCACCAACTCCCGGAGTTTAATCAAACTCGTGTCCACTGAGTTGGTGATGCCATCAAACCATCTCATCCTCTGTCATCCCCTTCTCCTCCCACCTTCAATCTTTCCCAGCATCAGGGTCTTTTCAAATGAGTCAGTTCTTCACATCAGGTGGCCAAAGTATTGGAGTTTCAGCTTCAGCATCAGTCCTTCCAATGAACATTCAGGACTGATTTCCCTTAGGATGGACTGGTTGGTTCTCCTTGCTGTCCAAGGGACTCTCAAGAATCTTCTCCAACACCACAGTTCAAAAGCACCAATTCTACAGAGCTCAGCTTTCTTTATAGTCCAATTGTTACCATCTTTCTAAATTCCATATATATGCGTTACTATACTGTATTGGTGTTTTTCTTTCTGACTTACTTCACTCTGTATAACAGGCTCCAGTATCACTTAAGGAGTTTTAATCACTGAGCTCAACTTCCCATGCAGTTGGAGAAGACCCCATGAGCTTCCCTGGTGCCATCATGGAGGGAGCCTCAGCTGGGGTGACCCACACACGAGGACCCCACCCCTCCACTCTCAGCCAGCTCCATTTGGGACACAGCCTCTATCTCTGGCTGAGCCCCAGTCTGTTCGTTGTCATTACCTTTTCTGACCTTTATTCTTCTGCCTGGTGTTATACACAACAGATTATCTTCCTCTTCCCTCCGAGAATTTCTATCCTGTCCCTACTAAAACTTTTCTTTTGCATATTACATAGCCTCAGTTCGTTCATTCATCAGTTCATCCCCTTGATGGGGGAGCTGAAATAGACCAGGAAAGACAAGAGGCTGACTGAACTGGACCAGTCCCAACAGGGAGCAGGACAAAAGGGTAGACCCAAGCAGCATCAGAGGGGTCAAATCCACGAGGGAGATGTGTGGCTGGAAGGAGATGCGGGGGTAACTGCAGCTCCTGGCTGGGGGTGAAGCAAAATTTAACTTTATGTATAACATTCCGGCAGATTGCCTTGGGGAGCTTAACTCTGCCTTCACCTCCTCAGATTAGAGGACGTCTATGGGTGCCCTTACGACTTCATCGAAGTGTTCGATGGACAGCAGGTTGCCTCGCTCTCCTTGGGCAGATTTTGTGCCGGAACTGAGCTCACATTCCACTCTTCTTCAAACATCCTGACCACGGTGTTCAGGAGCAACGCCAGGATCACCAACACGGGGTTCTACGCCTTGTACAGCGCCGTCCGGCAGGACGAAAGGGAGAGCGGTGGGTATCCTAACACGGACTTCAGAGGGATGTCAGGTCTAATGTGCACCCTTTCCCTTTAAGAGAGGAGATGCTTTTGTAAATCTGACCTGTGGGTCCCGCCCACATTACTGACATCTCAGTGACATCACTCTGACACTGACAGCCCCTAGCCCACCCCTGCTCCTGCTCTGCCCCTCACTCTTGTCTTCCTCCACCAAGACATCCCCCTAAAGAAATAGAGAGCCAAGTCTCACGTCTTGCCGTGGCCGTTGTGTTGAGGGAGGGCCCATGACAACAGTCTCCTCCTTCTCCAAAGGAAGCAGAAACTCAGTAGAGCAAATCCTTCTAGAACAAAACCATCCCAAACTACAACTGTCAGCCCACCTGCTTCCAGATGAGTTCAATGCAGAAACCATCCAGAATACTCCCCATGCAAGATAGGAAGACCATTACAGAGCTGTCAGTGGATAATGCTTAAGGTGACTGTGCAACTTATCCCTCAGTCAGGGGACTTTGGAGAGTATAAAAAGGAACTCTGAAATAATTGCAGTAGTAGTGTTAGTCGCTCAGTCGTGTCTGACTCTTTGTGACCCCATGGACTGTAGCCCACAGGCTCCTCTGTCCATGGGATTCTCCAGGCAAGAATACCGGAGTGGGTTGCCATTTCCTTCCCCAGGGGATCTTCCCCACCCAGGGATCCAATCCAGGTCTCCCGCATTGCAGGCAGATTCAACAGGCACTAATTGACCTACCCCAGTCATAAACCAGGAAGCTATGACAAACCTAGACAGCCTATTAAGAAGCAGAGACATTACTTTGCCAACAAAGGTCCATCCATAGAGACAAAGCAATGGTTTTTCCAGTATTCATGTTTGGATGTGAGAGTTGGTTGAAGGCTGAGTGCAGAGGAGTTGATGCTTTTGAATTTTGGTGCTGGAGAAGATGCTTGAAAGTCCCTTGGACAGTAAGGAGATCCAACCAGTCCATCCTAAAGGAGATTAGTCCTGAATATTCACCAGAAGGACTGATGCAGATGTGGAAGCTCCAATACTTTGGCCACCTGATGCGAAGAGCCAACTGATTGGAAAAGATCCTGACGCTGGGAAAGATTGAAGGCAAAAGGAGAAGGGGGTGGCAGAGGATGAGATAGTTAGATAGCATCACCAACTCAATGGACATGAATCTGAGCAAACTCTGCAAGATAGTAGAGGAGCCTGGCATGCTGCAGTCCATGAGGTCACAGAGTGGGAGGCAATTTAGTGACTGAACAATTCCTGGCATATCAGGACATAGGGTCTCCCTATCTAGAGTCCAGCAGCTGAATATGCAGAAAGGTGCCCATAGGAGAATGTCAGAGATCCTCTCTTGGGCAGAAGAGAGATGGGGCACAGCCCCACAGCTCAGGGGACTCTGCTTTCCCGTCCCCAGGTGAGTCCCTGAGGCTGGGGGATGGCAGTCACAGATGTGAGGGTCGGGTGGAGGTCTCCTACAACGGCACCTGGGGCACCGTGTGCGACGACAGCTGGGACCTGACGGACGCCAGGGTCGTGTGCCGGCAGCTTGGCTGCGGCGAGGCCTTGTCGGCCCCGAAGCAGAGCCACTTTGGTGGAGGCACCGGCCCCATCATCCTGGACAACGTGCAGTGTGCGGGGAGTGAGGCCAGGGTGTGGCAGTGCCCACACAGTGGCTGGTTCTCCCACAACTGTGGGCACCACGAGGACGCGGGTGTCGTCTGCTCAGGTGAGCCCCCGGGGGCACGGCACACCTTGCCGGGGGGCATCTCACCCCAGCAGCCTCTGGGAAGGGGGTGACTCGGGAGGAATTGGAGCCGTGGGCTCCAAGCCGTCTTTTTAAGTCAATTTGCCGAAGAGGTAGTTTGCTTTCTCTTAAATCGTTGTGTTTGTAAAATGCTCAAGTGAAGTGAAAGTCACTCAGTTGTGTCTGACTCTTTGTGACCCCTTGGACTATACAGTCCATGGAATTCTCCAGGCCGGAATACTGGAGTGGGTAGCCTTTCCCTTTTCCAGGGCATCTTCCCAACCCAGGGATCGAACCTAGGTCTCCCGCACTGCAGGCAGATTCTTTACCAGCTGAGACATGAAGGAAGCCTGAAAATGTCCCACCTCAAAGTCCCACCCTAAAAGCTGTGGTGAGGGACTGCCCTTGGGGTCCATGGTTAAGGCTCCATGCTTCCAATGCCAGGGGTGCGGGTTCGATCCCTAGTTAAGGAACTAAGATCCCACCTGCTGTGTGACAAAAAATAAATAGTCATCATAGATCACTCATATGTTTTAAAAGAAAGCTGCAGTGGTTAAATAGAGGGTTATATCACCACCTGGTGCTGGGAAAGAATGGAGGCAGGGGAAGAAGGGACAACAGAGGATGAGATGACTGAATGGCATCACTGACTCAATGGACGTGAGTTTGAGCAAAGCTCCAGGACAGGGAAGCCTGGCATGCTGCAGTCCATGGAGTCGAAGGGTCAAACCCAACCTAGCGACTGAATGACAACGTGTCCACTGAGTCAGTGATGCTGTCCAACCATCTCATCCTCTGCTGCCCTCTTCTCCTTTTGCCTTCAGTCTTTCCTAGCAGTGGGATTTAGTGCTACACTCCTAACTGCCCAGAACAGAATGTGTTTGATTAAAAAAAAAAAAGCAAATAAAAGAAATAGAAATTTTAATTTTAAATTAATTTTTAAAAACCTGATTTCCTTTTGTGTGACTGTCTTACTCAATTCATCTCTTATTCTCTCTTCTGTCTTGGAGTAGGTATTGATGGCAACCCAAAAGTAGGACCAACTTCCAAACATTTTAACCCATTGCCAGGTCTCTAGTATGAGTGAATCCTAGCTACTTTTTAATCCTTTAATTGGGACACCATCTGATTAAATTATTTCTTGTTAATTAACAAGAGCCATGCAGTCCATTAGTCTTTCCTTGGTGGTTCTGACGGTAAAGCGTCTGCCTATAATACAGAAGACCTGGGTTCAATCCCTGGGTTGGGAAGATCTCCTGGAAAAGGAAATGGCAACCCACTCCAGTATTCTTGCCTGAAAAATCCCATGGACGGAGGAGCCTGGTAGGCTACAGTCCATGGAGTCGCAAAGAGTCGGACACGACTGAGCGACTTCACTTTCACTTATGCAGTCCGTTAGCATTGGCAAAATGGTGGGGCTTGGGGCCGGGGCGCCGCAGAGGGTGAGGAGAGAAAGAGGTAGAAGAGAAGGAGAATTCAGATCCACCAGAAATGCAGTCTCTGGCCAGTGGGGTTTCCTGAATCTGTGTCCACACGCAGTGGGGTGGAGTCACGGTTGGGGTGGGCTTGGTAACTGCCTGCAGTGGTGATCATGCAATAGTTACGTGCAGAGCAAGGAAACAGAGACCCAGGGTCAGGCCTCAGCAAGTTGTATAGAGCTACACTGTCTGCAGACTTGTCCAGGCACCCAGCCTCTCGTAGCATCGGCGCGTCTCCGTCCACTACCGCGCAGAGCCGTCACAGATCTGCACGTGGATGTTTTTGAGTACTCTAAAGGAGTTTTCTGAATAAAAGTCCTTGCTTACAGTATCATTTTTTTTCTCTGTATTTTCCCAGGCTCGACTGATGACAGCTCCCCTGCAGGTACGTCAGCCGTATTTAAAGGCTTCCTGTGATTTTACGTGTGCTTTGTTTTCACTTGCAGCACTTGAAGCAACCGGATGAATGCTGTAGCTTCCTTTTACATATGAGAAGCTCCAGCACAGAGAACCCTTTGGAAAAGCCACTTCAAATCCAGTATTTCAGCCACAAAGTGGATGCTTTTAGTAACCGCCGTCTTGACTTCAGCTAGGGTTTGGACGTAATGCAACAAAGGGTCTCCTAACACAGTTGTTCTGTGAGGACACAGTCACATTGCACTGGGCAGGGAGCCCTTGGCTTGGATCGTCTTTGCTCCCTTCTCATTAAAACACGTGCTCAGACCTGTCAGCGCATGTGTGTTCATAAAGCCCTCTCAACCTTATGTCCTGATCATTTCTCCTCACAAAAACACTATAAACTTGGGGCTTCCCTGGCGGTCCAGTGGTTAAGACTCCATGCTTCCAATCAGGGTTCCGATACCTGGTCGGGGAGTTAAGATCCCACATACTGTGCATGTGGCAAAGAAAACACACACACACTATAAGCTTGAGAGGACACAGGTAATGATCTTATCTAACAAAGAGCAACTTGGGAAACTCTAAGAGCCTCCAAAGCTTTTTTTTTTTCAATAGTTACAAGCAAAAGCAGCTTTAGAACAAGTTCTCCTTATTCTGTTCCCATCCCTCTTGGTTCCTCTAAAAACATCAGCAGAGGTCGGTGCCTCCTTCTGATGGCGTTTCTTCACTCTTTCTTGCAGATGAAAATATCCATTGTGGTGGTTTGCTGACAAGTAATTCGGGCTCTTTCTCCAGCCCCTGGTATCCTAAAAAGTACCCCACAAATGTGATGTGTGCCTGGGACATACAAGTGGATAGCAGGGCGCGTGTCAAACTTACATTCGAAGTGATAAAGTGAGTAAATAGCTTCTGCTTTTACTCTCCTCTTTACTTGATTGTACTGCCTGCTACCACCACTACCCCCACCCCACCGTCACCAAAAAATCCAGCTTTCATATTTAGTTCTCAAAAGTAAGGAAGGCCTTGGAGACCCATCCAGTAATACTGATTCAAAAAAATTTTTTTAAATTTTATTTATTTATTCATTTTGGCAGTGCTGGATCTTCGCTGCTGTGTGGACTTTTCCTCCAGTTGCAGCGAGTAGGGGCTACTCTTTGTCGCAACGTGCGGGCTTCTCCCAATGGTGGCCTCTCTTGTTGTGGAGCACAGGCTCTAGGGCACGCGGGGTCAAGGAGTTGTGGTGCACGGGTTAAGTTGCCCCTCGGTTTGTGAGGTCTTCCCAGACCAGGGATCAAACTTGGGTCCCCTGCATTGGTAGGTGGATTCTTAACCGCTAGACCACCAAGGAAGGCCCCAGATCAAAATTTAAACACATAGATCTTTTAACCCAGCAATTCCAGTTCCAGGAAGTTGGTCTACAGATAAAATCTCATGCGCACTGAGAAAAAATATTGGCTGCATTCTTACAGTAGTGCTAGGTTGGAAGCAGTCTTATTGCCCACCAGGGGGTCAGTTAAATAGATTTTGGTACATCTTAATATGCTGTCTAGGTTTGTCATAGCTTTTCTTCCAAGGAGCAAATGTCTTTTAATTTCATGGCTGCAGTCACCATCGGCAGTGATTTTGGAGCCCAAGAAAAAGTCACTGTTCCAAACTGTCACTGTTTCCATTGTTTCCCCCATCTATTTGACATGAAATGATGGGACTGGATTTTAAGCCAGCTTTATCACTCTCCTCTTTCACTTTCGTCAAGAGGCTCTTTAGTTCCTCTTTGCTTTCTGCCATAAAGGTGATGTCATCTGCATGTCTCAGGTTATTGATATTTCTCCCAGCAATCTTGATTGCTGTCTCACACATAGGATGTATTGCTATGGAATGATCTGTAAGATTGGGGCCAATAGTACAGGGACTGATATTATGCATAAACCATCTCTGGAAGGAAACAAATAGAAACTGTTCATTGTAGCTGCTTATGGGAAGGGGACTAGCCAGAGCTAGAAGAAAAGTTGCTTTTAACCATGTGCCCACCAATACCACTTAAATTGTATTTCTTATGCTTGTAATGTATATTCAGAAAATACAATTGAATGAAAACTTCAAAGAATTAGAAGATTTTTAGAGCTGGGAAGATATGCACTGCCTGCACCAATGGGATTATGGCTTCCTACATCCTGTTTGAAGAGATGTAGGTTTCAGGCAGCTTTTCTAGAGCCCTTCCTAGAACAATCTTGGCAGTGCCTCTTATGGGAAAGTCAGTGGCTAGATCTGAATTCTGTCATGATTTCACAGATTGGAAAACTTCTACAGCTGTCCGTATGACTTCATTGAAATCTTTGATGGCCCACAAAGCAAATCTTTTTCGCTGGGGAGGTTCTGTTCTGGCACAACCCCAGTATTTACCTCCTCAGCAAATCGCCTGACTGTGGTCTTCCAAAGCGACGCCATTGTCACCAATGTTGGCTTTTCTGCATCCTACGAGGCTCTCCTGCAAGACGAGAACAACACTGGTAGGTTCTTGGATCATCTTAGCCCCTGGCCCTGCTTGGTAATGACAGGGAGGGTGGGTAACCAACTCTGTGATTGGGGGAAGGGGTCCCGAGTGCTTTAGTTTACCCTCCAGATCTGGCTAGAGAAAGTGGTTGAACACCCAGCACTGCCATGAAACCACACGTCCACATACATCTTCTGACAATAGAGCACGTGACCCCGGGTGAGAGGGTGTGTGGCTGATGCTGTCCCCAAGTCTTGGCACTCAGAACGCCTGCCTAGACAATGTGGGTCCTGACTAGGGCAACGACAGCCAGGGTCCCCAAGCTTGGTGCTTCCCACATCACACAGGGAGCTTGGGGACCTCCTTTGGTCTCTGTGAGCAGGCAGTCCTGTCTGGGGAAGAGCTTTAAAAAGCATGCTGTTGTTGTTTTGTTATGTCATTAAGTTGTGTCCAACTCTTTTGCAAACTCAGACTGTAGCCCACCAAGCTCCTTTGTCCATAGGATTTCTGTCAAGAATACTGGAGTGGGTTGCTGTTTCCTCCTCCAGGAGATCTTCCCAACCCAGGGATCCAACCTGTGTGTCCTGCATCACAGGCGGATTTCTTCACCACTGAGCCACATGGGAAGCCTGATAAAGCATACACCACCCCAAATCACATTGACCTGAATGATGAAACCCAAAGTACCTTTGTAGGCTCTTTAACCCACCTCAGTCCCTTCCCAGAATGAGAAGGGAGCCCTGGGAAGCTTGTTAGCTCAGAGGAGATACACAGAACTTCCTCAAAGGCAGAGTAGTGACTTGAGCGTGTCTGTTTCCTAGACGCGGTGCTCAGGCTGGCCAATGGAAGCCAGCCCTGCGAGGGCCGCGTGGAGCTGCACTTCAACGGCAGCTGGGGGACCGTGTGTGATGATGGCTGGGACCTGCAGGACGCCGAGGTGGTGTGCCGGCAGCTGAGCTGTGGCGGAGCAGTGTCAGCCCCCGGGAGGGCGAGATTTGGCCGAGGCCTGGGCCCCATCGCCCTGGATGACGTGAAATGTGTGGGGACTGAAGCCAGGCTGTGGCAGTGTCTGCATGGTGGCTGGTTCTCCCACAACTGTGGCCACCACGAGGATGCTGGTGTCGTCTGCTCAGGTGGGCCTGATGCTGGGGCCCAGGGTGGGTGAAATGACATTCCTGCTCCATGCATCTTCACCCAAGTGTACTTAGAGCCGTGAGGAAGTCCTGGATGGTCCCTGTTTCCCAAGCTTCAGCCCTGCATGGTCCCCATCATGTGCACCTACTACCCTTGGTGGTTGTAGTCAGTAAGTCATGTCCGACTCTTTACGACCCCGTGGACTGTAGCACAACAGGCTTCTCTGTCCTCCACTGTCTCCTGCAGTTTGCTCAAATTCATATCCATTGAGTCGGTGATGTACCGAACCATCCTATCCTCTGCCGCTCCCTTCTCCTTTTGCCCTCAATCTTTCCCAGCATCAGGATCTTTTCCATTGAGTCGGCTCTTTGCATCAGGTAGCCAAAGTATTGGAGTTTCAACTTCAGCATCAGTCCTTCCAATGAATATTGATGATTGATTTCCTTTCACATAGATTGGTTTGGTCTCCTTGCAGTCCAAGGGACTCACAAGAGTCTTCTCCAGCACCACAATTCAACAGCATCAATTCCTTGGTGCTCGGCCTTTATGATCCGACTCTCACCGCATCTGCACATAACTACTAGAAAAAACAGAGCTTTGACTACACAGATCTTGGGAAAGTGATGTCTCTGTTTTTTTAATACACTGTCTAGGTTTGTCATAGCTTTTCTTCCAAGAGCAAGCGTCTTTTAATTTCATGGCTGCAGTTATAGTCTGCAGTGATTTTGGAATCCCCAAAAGAAAATCTGCCACTGTTTCCATTTTTTTCCTCTTCTATTCGCCATAAGGTGATGGGACCAGATGTCATGATCTTAGTTTTTTGAATGTTGATCCTCAAACCAGCTTTTTCACTCTCCTCTTCACCCTCATAAAGAGACTCTTTAGTTCCTCTTTGCTTTCTGCCATTAGAGTGGTGTCATCTGCATATCTGAGGCTGTTGATATTTCTCCCAGCAGTCTTGATTCCAGCTTGTAGTTCATCCAGCCTGGCATTTCATGTGACGTACCCACAGTTGAGTTTTCTTAATGCTTTCCTTTATATCAGCTCTTCTCTTTTCACTTAAGTGAATTCATTTTGCAAGGAAAATTTGTATTACCACCATATGGAGGGTCAGGATCACTTGCCATGAATAGAAAATACATAAGAATAAATGCAGCAGCAATGAAACAAAGTTAAAATGATTAAAAGTAAATAGTGAACTATCTAACCAATTTACAACCCCTACATCGGAAAATATCCTTAAGCAGAACAGAACTAAATGTAAGCTTTTATATTTTAATGCAATGAATGCATGACTCTGAAAATAGAAGTCATATAACCTCAGATTATCTGGCATCCCACCAGTGCTGAGTGATGCCTTGGGAATGGTATCTTCAGTTCAAATCCTCTCCCCTACCAGTTTCACAGGTAACCAGGGATGCTCTGAAAGTCACAGAGCTGGGAGCCCAGCTCCTCACCCAGCCTTCTTACTCCTCAGTTGTATCCCAATTGAGTCTCTGCAGATAAATTCAGTATTTGGAGTCAAAAGCCCCCGTTTATCTCCACATCCTTTTGGCTTTGGCTGGCAAGAGGCAAACTGGTTCATCAACTAGACTGGCAGCAACTGCCTGCCACAGGAGGAAAGAACAAGCAGAGGTGAAGGGCCTGGAAGGTTCTGAGTGGAGGAGAGAAGTGAAGAGCAGAATCAGTGCTCTCAGCAAAGCAGGAGCTGTAGCATCAGAGGACAAGTCTGGGGACCTACAGGGCAGGAAGGTTGGGAGCAAGGGCCCTGGGCACGCAGGGGGTGAGGATGGGGCAGAGGGGCCTGGCCCAGCTCCACCACCCACTCTGGGGCCCATCTGCTCCTTCCCAGTGCTGACCTTGCCAGTGTAAGTCCTTGAGACATGGTGTATATCCTTGAGACAAACGTGGTTCTGCCCTTTGCAGACTGATGTTTAGTCTGGGAGGCAAGCCCACACCCAGGGAGAATTACAAAACCAAACCAGCTGGCAAGACAGGTGCTTCACACAAGGCAACCAGCCCTGTGGCCTCTGCTTGCTACCCGCCTGCCCACCACCAGAATCCACAGAAATGACATTGCAGTCTCCGGCAAGGGGACAGAAATGAAGTGTGATGACATCTGGACATTGTAGCCGTGGCAACTCAGGGCCATTCTTGGAGGCCCAGATGGGGTACAGTTTCTCCCCAAATGAGAGATATACCTGACTGCTTCAAACAAGCCAATCTACCCCCTTGGGTTTAAGAAAAATCAAGGGATGTAATGTGATTTATGAGTCTCTTGATTTACATCTCTTGTAGCCTCCCTGCCTTACTCAACACCATCAGCAGCTGTGGGCCACCCAACTTCAGGTAATTGCCCTTGCTCTGAATTGAGTGGCTGTAACTTGCCTTGGCGAAGTCATCATGGGAGATAGGGTCGTGATTCAAGGACCAGATGACCTGGGCTTGCTGCCCTGGCTTCACCTTCACCAGCAGTGGGACACTGAGCAAATCCCTGAGTCTCTCTGGGCCTTGGTTCCCTCCTCTAAGGATGAGAAGGACGATCATAGTATTTGTATTGTAAAGCCAGGCTGGTGTTCAGTAGATCTCTCTACGCAGAGTAGGGGGGTGGTGCTTGCCGTGTGGGGCTCACTTGTCAGATGTCAGCTATCTTCTTACCCCCCACTTCCATCTTCCTGTCTTCTCACTCTCCCCCCACCCCCCGCCACCTTCCATCACCCTGCAGGGAATTGCCTCTGAATATTGCCTTCTGCTTGACAGAACTGTAAATGAAGGAGCCAAAATCACCACTCCTTAAGTCTTTCCCTGACTCTGATTGGCCCAGTCATTGTCACATTTTGAATTAGGTCAGCTCCTTTTCCATAGTCTTTAAGAATAAAATAAAATATGCTGAGAAGAGTTAGAAAAAAGAGAAGTGAACCCTAGCCTTTAATGAGCACTAGAGTAGGTTATACTGAACAGCTGTGATCCCCAAAGGATGCACATTGACTTTAAAACATCCCTACTGTTTTTTCATCTATTAACCCCCCTACTCCATGCTTTTATTTTCTTGAGCTTGTATGAGTTGGTTTGTACCGTTCCAGACACAACAGTTGGTGTGTACTCCCCACAGAGAAAGGACTTGGGAAGGGAATCAAGTTAGAAACTAGATAATCTACAAGCCAGGGAGCCCTGCCCCCTCAAGCTTTGGCTGAGAGTTAAATATGTTTGACACTTAATGAGGTTGTTGTATAATTTTTTCTTTCACTTTCTGTCTGTCCTTAGCATCTTTTCCAGCGCCAACAGAGGTGCCTACATCAATAGGTAATCTTTTCCACTTTCTTTAACTGCCTTCCCTTTCACAGAGTTTTAGGCCAGAAAAGCCCCAGCATTACTATGGGAGGAAATGTCCCTGCAGGAAGCACCTTCCTCCGCAGCCTCAGGCCATACACATGGCTGCAGTCGAAGGAAGGGCTGATGAAATCCAGGCTCACCTAGCAAATCTGTGATTGGAAAGGGAGAGGAAAGAGGCTGTGAGATGCAAGGATGGCTTGTGGGAACCAGTATGGAAGCCAGCACCCAGAAAGTCTGGGATGGGAGTACCTGGCTGACCCCACATCTCCACCCAGTCCTGCTGTGAGCTCCCCTTGGCTATGTCCTGAGCATATCCAATCTCGACTCTTTCGCAACACTGCCCTTTGATCGTGGGGAGCAGCCTGTGATGACTGCCCTTTATACTTCCCAGAGCATCTTTGCATGTGGTGACACCTGATCCTGGGGATAACACAGATGCAAATTATTGTTCTTGTCACTTGATCAGTATGTACAAGGCACTCAGAGAATCTTACACACAGACACACACACACACATGTTCACACACCAGTTAATGTGTGCATGATAGCTTCTCATGAAAAATCCAACAAACCCTGTGAGTGCCAGAAACCAAGACATCACAGAAAGAAGGGGCAGCTATGCAGGAAGGCAGGGCTCTGGAGCAGCTGGCTAAGGAGCAAAACTGTTTGTTAGCCAGCTATAATGCTGAAAAAACAAAAAGTTATACCCAAGGTGAAATTAAAATAAAATGAAGGCGAGGGGGGGTAGATTTTTTATCATCCATGGTGAGTGCCCAATTTCCAAGAGATACTGGTTCTTCCAGTGGCCTCTCTGGATGAGCTTTGATGGAGGTCATTGTTTGGATTGTCCACCAAGGTCTGGGCCTGCGGCTGGCCGATGGGTCAAGCCGGTGTGAGGGCCGAGTGGAAGTCTGCCATGCCGATACCTGGGGCACCGTGTGTGATGACAGCTGGTCCATCGAAGATGCCCACGTGGTCTGCAGGCAGCTTGGCTGTGGCCAGGCTGTGTCTGCCCTCCCGGGAGCCAGATTCAGCCCTGGGGTGGGCAGCATTCTCTTGGACGATGTCAACTGCACGGGCAGCGAGTCCTCCCTGGCGCAGTGCCCTCACAGCGGCTGGTTCACCCACAACTGCGGGCACCATGAAGACGCTGGCGTCGTCTGCTCAGGTGAGCACAGGTGTCTTCTGGGCCAGGCGCGGGGCTGCCCAGGCCAAGCCTGGAATTAGCACACTGAGCCTGGAATTCCTCCATGCCTTCAACCTTCCACCGTGTTCCAGACAGCAGATTTCTATTCTAACTCTGAAAGATATGCCAGCCATTTAATATACGGGAGGACGCCATTCATCTTGAGTGTCTGCAAAGATTAACCAGTTATAAAATAAAGAAACTAACAGTACTTATCTCATAAAGCTGATGGGTGGATTAAATGGAACTTTCCGTGTAGAATATGTAGTCAAGCATATGTTACATTGTCAATGTACAAAAAGAATCCTCCTGCCAATGCAGGAGACCTGGGTTTGATTCCTGGGTCCAGAAGAGCCCCAGGAGGAGGAAATAGCAACCCACTTCAGTATTCTTGCCTGGGAAATCCCATGGGGAGGAGAGCCTGGCGGGCTATGGTTCATTGGGTCGCAAAGAGTCAGACATGACTTAGTGACTAAACACACACACAAAAACACAAATGTACAAAAACTTTAATTATTTTATTTTTGGCAGTGGTATTTTGGTTGCCAAGGCAAACTCTGTCAGAATCACTAGCTCAGAGATTTTAGCCAGGTGATACAGCCCACAGCTGGCTGTGAAAACCAGAGGAGGCAGCCCTGGATGCTTCAGGATGATTGTTTACCAGGCCTGTTGAGCAGCATGTAAACTGAGACCGTGATCTTTGAACCACTCCACCACCCTGGTTTCTATTAATCCATTCTCCTGTTTCCTTTATCTCTGCAGATTCTGCAGTTGCTGGGAATCCAGGTACTTGTGATCTCACATCCATTTTACTTGCTGATTGGTGACTAGCCATCTGGTGCAGAGTCCCCACGCTGGAAGACTGGGGACTGGGTCTTCCCCAGTCTGGGTCTTCCTTCCCAGTCTTAACTTTCCTTAACCACTGATGCTCTGAGCTCCTGACCTTTCCACCCTCCCAGGTAGTGAAGCTGCTCCCCAGTCCCATGGGGGCCCTGCTTTGCACCCAGAGGAGAGGCTGTCCTGGGTGTTAGCATGTTGATGTGTCATTGCTTCCGCATGTGAGAGCTGCATTTCAGTGAAACTCTGAGACACTAGTTCTTGACCCAGAACGGTGGTTCATATTGCAGAGGCCATGGGAGGCCAGAGACAAGAAGGTCCAGGGGCAGGTGGGCCTGGGCAGGAGCGGCTCCTCCCCTGGGACCACCCTACCTGGGGCCCGGGATGCTGCCCTGGAATTCTGCGGCACCAACAAGATGCCCCCGCCCTAGGTAGCCATATCTGCATGATCCCAAAGTGAATGTGAAAGTCACTCAGTCGTGTCTGACTCTTTGCGACCCCGTGGACTATATAGAGTCCATGGACTTCTCCAGGTTAGAATGCTGGAGTAGGTAGCCTTTCCTTTCTCCAGATCTTCCCTGGAGATCTGGACCCAAGGATCGAACCCAGGTCTCCCGCATTGCAGTTGGGTTCTTTACCGTCTGAGCCACCAGGAAAGCCCAACAACACTGGAGTGGGGAGCCTGTCCCTTCTCCAGAGGGTCTTCCTGACACAGGAAGAAACCCGGGGTCTCCTGCATTGCCGGAGAAGGCAATGGCACCCCACTCCTGTACTCATGCCTGGAGGATCCCATGGCCCGAGGAGCCTGGCACAGTCAGTCGGACACAACTGAGCGACTGAGACTTTCACTTCACTGAGAAGGATATGAAATTTCATTGTGCTTGTTTGGAGTGTCCTCATGGTGAACTGTGTTTCTTTTTTACTCTCTAGTTACTTCAACACCTGGGGAACAGTCACATGTTTACCAACCGATAGGTACTGTTTCCATTCTTATATTTTGTATCTGCTTTTCTAAGGCTGGGGTTCCGCCACTAGTGGCCAAGAGAAATATAGCCAACATTATTCTCATAGTCCTGTATGGAGTAAAATGTGCTCATTAATGGAAGGTGGGTGTTCCTCATGTAGGGACCTTTTCAGGGAGAACAAATAACCCACCTGCCCTCAGTCACGGAAAGGCCTTATTAAGGCCCGGACCCACACAGGGCTCTGGTGGGGCCTTCTCAAAGGGGAAGCCCCCCAACCAGCCCTGAACTCTGGGGCTCAGAATCCGAGCATTGACTTCACCTGCTTTTAATTCAGGGCTCATTGTCACTTGGCCAAATCCTTTACCTTCTTGAGCAATGACGCCGTCTCTTCTGCTACTCATTCTCCTAACCTCTGACTTCCTCCATCATTCTCCAACGAATATGGTTTTCAAATTCAAGAAAAGTGAAAATAGTTGTGTCCTGAGAATTTCACAATATACTCTGAGAGATCGGGGCTAGAAAAGCAAAGTCTGAATCCTAAACCTTCAGCTGAACTGTGTTTAATTTTGAGAGAAACAACATGAGAAATGACACCCCAGAGAGGATGAAGGCTGGTTATTTTTATTTATTTATAGTTTATTTATTTGGCCATGCCATGCCTTAGCTGTGGCATCTAATTCCTAGATCAGGGATTGAACCCTGATCCCCTGCATTGGGAGCATGGAATCTTAGCCCCTGGACCACCAGGGAAATTCCCAGAAGGTTGTTTTTAGGTGTGTGTGTCTCCTTAAAGTGGCTTTCCTGATGACTCAGTGGTAAAGAATCTGCCTGTAGTGCAGGAGACTCAGAAGATGCGAATTCCATCCCTGGGTCAGGAAGATCCCCTGGAGGACCTGCCTGCTCCTGTAGATCTGCCCGTGGTGAGGCTGGCCAGCAGCAGGAGCAGGTGTGAGGGCCGTGTGGAGATCCACCACCACGGCACCTGGGGAACAGTGTGTGACGACCCCTGGGACCTGCCGGCTGCCCGGGTGCTGTGCCAGCAGCTGGGCTGGCAGCCCCGAGGAGAAGTCTGTTTGGCGATGGCTTTGGCCCCATCTCCCTGGACCACATGCAGTGTGTGGGCGATAGGCCCACCTGAGCCAGTGCCTGCACCTCGGCCTGTCTTTCCACAACTGTGGACCCCACAAGGTCACCGGGGCCATCTGCGCAGGTACTGGACCTTCCCTGAGATCCAGCTTCCTCCCCAAGCAGCAGAGCCCCATCTGCCAAGCAGGCCGACCCCACATGGTTTGGGGCTCCAAGGCAGGCAAACGACTTAGGGGGAATCTTGAGTCCCACCAGGGTCCCCCAAACACAAGGTCAAGGCCCCTTTTCAACATTGTTCCAGTGGGCCTCTGGGTCATTCCTAGTCTCTCTTCATTTGTTGATCTACCCAATGCTTGAGGCAACACCCTTGAGTTCACTTTAGAGTCCAGTCTCTCCCATCTTCAAGGAATTGCCAGGTCCCCTCTGTAATCCACCCACTGGGGTAGTTCACTGTACTTCCTAATCTTTGCCTTGAGATGATCTGTTGTGAGCTAAAGCTGACTTAGTAGTGCTGTGTTGGGAAATTTCTATGAACAAAACTGGGGTCCTCTCACCTATGCCCCTTGTGAAAGTGTCAATGCTATTTCTTTTGGCCCCAATGATTTGAGATAATTTCCCTTTCTTCTTTTGTTAATTCAGCCCAATTATGCACTATAGGAGACTGCCAGAAATGTAAAATAGAAAAGGAAATCAGATGAAATGAAATTACCCACTGCCCAGCTTCTCTTACTTTTATAAAGCAAAGATCAGAAGAATAGGATTTAGTTCATCCATCCATTTATTTAACAGATATTTACTGAGCACTTTGGGCTTCGCAGGTGGTGCTAGTGGTAAAGAACCTGCCTGCCAATGCAGGAGATATACGAGATGTGGGTTTGATCCCTGAGTTGGGAAGATCCCCTGGAGAAGTGAATAGCTACCCACTCCAGTATTCTTGCCTGGAGAATTCCATGGACAGAGGAGCCTGGTGGGCTACAGTCCATGGGGCCACACAGAGTCGGACACCACTGAGCACATAGGCACTGAGCACTTTATATTCACCAGACACGATTCTAGGTGAATATAATAATGAGAGCAGCAGACAGCCATCCCGCCCTTCCAGTGCGAGGCTTCAAGATCACGTCTGTGTTTCAGCCATGATAAATCATTAACAAGAATAAAGGAACACTGAATTGGGGCTCATAATACCCTTTATTGTGTTACAGAACCACTTTCTCCTAACATTTAGACAACTTAGTACTATGTCATAAACTAGTTTGTTGGATGAAGATGAGAAACCAATGTTAGAAACCTAAAGTCAGGACGAAGAAGGTTCCTGTGTGCGTGCTCAGCTGCTTCATTCGTTTCTGACTGTTTTGAAACCCCATGGACTGTAGTCCACCAGGTTCCTCTGTATATGGAATTCTCCAGGCGGGAATACTGAAGTTGGGTTGTCATCCCCTTCTCCAGGGGATCTTCCTGATCCAGGGATCAAAACTGTGTCCCCTGCATATCCTGCTTTGCTGGTGGATTCTTTTACCACTAATGACCCTGGAAGCCCAGGAAGGTTCCTAGTACTTTGCAATTCAAGGAAATGTTTTCTTTTTACTGCATCCAGGAAACAGGCTTTCTGATCCATCCGGGGAGATGACACTGTTCCCACAACAATAAATGTTTGCTTCCCACTTCCTGCCTCATGCATCCCTGTCTCTGTTCCAGTCTCATCCAAGCAGCCTTTATCTTTAACGTCACATTTCGGGTCATTTTGTATCTAATTTGCACATATGAGGTACTAATCTTTAAAATATTGGGTTGGCCATAAAGTGCATTGGGGTTTTCCATAAGCTGGAACCGGAAAACCTGAATGCATTTTGTGGCTAACCCTATAAAACAGTATCTTCTAAATTTCTTAAAAGTGGGTGGGATTTTTGTTTGAATTTTATCTTATTTTGGTTTCTGGTTTGTTTTTTTCATTTCAGTGTCAGCCACAGAAATGATCACCTCACCTGGTAATTTTATTTTCTTGTTTGCTTGATATAAATTATATATGTATAGACTGCCTTGCATATGGTTAGGGTTAAAGTTTATACCTCATATGAAGATAAGCATCAAGCTCATATCAAACTAACATAAAATACTCATATATTTCTTCAGTAATGTAGGAGTAAATTGGACTGATTATGGGCCTTCGGTACATAGGACAGTGTGTTCAATGTGCTTCTCAGTCCTTGGTGCCACATTAGAGAAATCAGGAGCTTTGTTCATACTCCCATCAGTGTTCACATATTTGGGAATTCAGTGAGTTAATTTTTTTAACAGTTACAGGACTTCAGGCATCTCAGGCAAGAATATTCCTCTAATCTGCGTTTTCAGGAAATAATAGAGTCCCACATCTCCCATGTGTGTTTCACATTATAGCACACCAATCCCATGATAGGCAGATTTTTAAAAAGCATTTACGGGACTTTCCTGGTGGTCCAGTGGTTAAGGCTCTGCGCTTCTGCTGCAGTAGGCAAGGATTCGATCCCCGGTCCAGGAACTAAGATCCCACATGCTGCAAGGTCAAAATAAAAAGCATTTGCATGGCTAAATAAGGTGAAAGTGAAAGTTGTTCAGTTGTGTCTGATTCTTTGCAAGCCCATGGACTATATAGTCCATGCAATTCTCCAGGCCAGAATACTGGAGTGGGGAGCCTTTCCCTTCTCTAGGAGATCTTCCCAACCCAGGGATCAAACCCAGGTCTCCTGCATTGCAGGCAGATTCTTTACCAGCTGAGCCACAAGGGAAGTCCAGCAATACTGGAGTGGGTAGCCTTTCCCTTCTTCAGGGGATCTTCCTGACCCAGGGATCAAACCCAGGGCTCCCACATTGCAAGTGGATTTTTTACCAGCTGAGCCACATGGGAAGCCCATTATAAGCTGGAGAAATACAATACCCTTCTCTTGAAGATTCAGTCTATTAACTTGTTAAAGTTCTGACAAGCCCTACCATAAGGGATCGTCTTTAAACTTGGCTCAATCCAATGTTTCTCAAACTTCTTTGACTGCTGAAACCTTCCAGGTTTGAGTAGAAATGCAATATCACAAAATTTGTCACCAGCGAACCTGGGATTATGTTCTGGCTCCAGCTTTAAACCTTTGGGTGACAACCGGGCAAGCCCCCTTCCCTCTCAGAGCCTCTGTTTCATCATCTGCAGAATGGGAGGGTGGCTCTTGTCCTGACAATTAAGTGGCACACACCTCGGCAAGCTCTCAGTGATGGGGGCTTGGCATCACATCCCCGAGGGATGTGTGTGCTGTCACCTCCTGGGAGCTGCCTGGTTCTATGGGTGAGCAGCTGATGTGTCCTTCTGTAAACTTCCCTCTTGTGGACACTAGGGATCGTCTTAGGACCCGAGTGGATCAATATACTATACAACCAAGCAAGTTGGAGAAATACAATCTCGACCCAGGTCAATTCAACTCAATATTCTCTGAACTGTAAACAGTTATGTAAGTAGCTCACAGTTCCTATTTTTAAAGTCTTAGAGCCCTCTACCAAACTTGGTAGAAATGGACATTTTATGGAAAATCAGATGATGGAACAGATTTGCCTTCTTGTTGGATCTTTGAGAATCAGCTACCACATCTCTTAGCCAAGGACAAATTCAATATCTCATCATCACAGTGTAATATCTTTACAGGAGTCAGAAGAAATCTTAGAGATTGTTCAGAACCAGTTTTGACCTGTGGATGGGTTTTGTTTCAGACAACAGAATTTTGCCTATGCGAAGTTTCATTTTTTTTAATACCACATTTTAAAAGTAGGAGATTTCATATAAAAGTCCAGATTTCAAGCTCTGATGGGGAAGCCAGAGGCTGGAAAATACAAGCATGAATTTTCACAGGGCACCAATTGTCCAGGGCGGAGCGGAAAACGATTTCCCTTTATGGGCACGTGCTGTCTGTCTAGTTTCTTGCTGGCCCGTGCCGATTATTTCTGGACCTGGAGTCATCTCCACTGGGATTCTTGGTGCCTCTCAAATTTTAATGTGTCTATAAATCACCTGGAGATCTTGTTAAGATGCAGATTTCGATTCAGTTTCTTGAGCAAGAGTGAGGGGTAGGGTTTTAAATGTCTGCGTTTCTCACAGGATGGTGCAGAAGCTTCTAGTACATGGACTCATTTTTTTCAGATGCATCCTCTGAAGCTTGGAGATGCAAAGGAACTTGTCTAAAGTCACCTGCTTATTTACACACAGAGAAGAGACTAGAATCCAAATCTCCTGGGTCCCAGACCCAAGTACCATCTCCCCCACTGTTTATTTCCCTTAGCTTAATGAAAAGGAGAACAGGAGAATCAAATAGGAACAGAGCATAATCAAATATGAACAAGACTGGGGCATAGTTTATAAGCAGGGTAATTCTTTTTAAAAATTTTACCAATGAACATGATTGACAAGAACAGCATTTAATTACAATTTTCTTTAAACTGTGCTTGTTTTGACAGTTGGGTTTTAAATGTCTGCGTTTCTCACAGGATGGTGCAGAAGCTTCTAGTACATGGACTCATTTTTTTCAGATGCATCCTCTGAAGCTTGGAGATGCAAAGGAACTTGTCTAAAGTCACCTGCTTATTTACACACAGAGAAGAGACTAGAATCCAAATCTCCTCGGTCCCAGACCCAAGTACCATCTCCTGCACTGTTTATTTCCCTTAGCTTAATGAAAAGGAGAACAGGAGAATCAAATAGGAACAGAGCATAATCAAATATGAACAAGACTGGGGCATAGTTTATAAGCAGGGTAATTCTTTTTAAAAATTTTACCAATGAACATGATTGACAAGAACAGCATTTAATTACAATTTTCTTTAAACTGTGCTTGTTTTGACAGTTCCTGCCTCAGTTTCAGCCACAGATTTGGTCCTTGCAACTGGTAACAAGTTTCTGCTGATTTGTCCTGTTACTAACGTTAAGAGATATTGATGGGTTGAAATTCTACCTCAAGAGTACTGTTTGCCCAGGGGTCACTTGGCTGAATTAATCCCTTGGAAAATAGACTAGAATCCAGAAATTGACAAATATACAGTGAAGCTGAGGTCCCAACATTCAAGTAAAGCACTTGCATACACTTGGGAGTGATCCAGAGTCTACGGTTCATACTTCCTACACACACATTGACCGTTGGCTCTCTGATCTCCCTGCTGACTGTGTATTATAAAAGACAACGGATTAGGGAGGGGGTGCAGAGACTGGGAAGGGAAGACCTCATAGAAGAGCCACAGTGGCAAGGGCAGGAAATGCTAAAAGACAGCCACAGAAGGGTTCAGAAAACCAGTGTCACTAGGCTTTCTAAATAGCGCAGTATGAAGCAAAAATACCCACTAAACTCAGCATCCTTTGAGACACCTCCTTAATACAACCTTGAACAGCAATGGTTTCTTCTTAATGAGCCAGAATCACGCAAGTTAAAATATGACCAAGTATCTTCTGTTTAAGAGGACAGGGAAACTTGTTTTCTTTCAGGAGAGTTTTAATTTATAACAGCTCATGTGGGGTTTTTATTTTTGCCATCCAAAAAGTATTTATTGAAGGATAATTGATTTACAGTGTTAATTTCTGCTCTACACCTAGTGACTCAGTTACATACATATAAACATCCTTTTATATTCTTTTCCGTTATAGTTTATCACAGGATCGTTCCCTGTGCTATACAGTAAGACCTTGTTGTTGGTCCATCCCATATATAATAGCTTGCATCTGCTCACAACATCCCTCTTGCCATTTTGCCAGAAGCTCCGATATTCTAATGAACAGAAGATCTGTATTTAAGAGACACACAGAGAAATGTACAGTTTATCTTGAAGAGATAGGATAAATTTTAAACTTTAATTAGAAAACCAAAAAATAGAAAAAAATTAACACAGAATACAACAGACAATTTGACTTTGGCACTAAGATAGTCATAGGGGTCAATTTTCATTGAATAGAAAAGGTTTCAGTTCAGTTCAGTTCAGTCGCTCAGTCGTGTCCTACTCTTTGCGACCCCATGAATCGCAGCATGAATCATGAGTTCATGAATTCATCATGACCCCATGAATCGCATCACCAACTCCCGGAGTTTACCCAAACTCATATCCATTGAGTCGGTGATGCCATCCAGTCATCTCATCCTCTGTCATCCCCTTCTCCTCCTGCCCCCAATCCCTCCCAGCATCAGGGTCTTTTCAA